CTCAGGAGGATGCTGAGGGGAATATCCCTGTGGCAGCATGTGTCTGAGCTTCTGAGAAAGCAGGAAGGCTGTGTGGGGCTGGCCCAGCCTGGTCACGCGGAGCAGAGGAAGCTTGGGACCCAGCAGTGGGATGGTGGCTGTGTGGGGCCACCTCCTCTCCTCCTCCCCCTGAGGAATGCAGGGCTGTGCGCCAGGCTTCGGGTCAGTGAGTCCGCGGTCAGTCTAGGCACGGCCCCAAGTTACCCAGGAGCAGGTTTTCTGCTTCAAAACTCCCCCGTGGTGAGCAAGGCTGGGCAGCAATCATAGAGAATATTTGCTGAAGAGCCAAGCAAACAGCTCTCTGTGAGCTCTGGGAGATGCTTGCTGTCCAACAGCAATAAACAGGAGAGATGGATGGCATTGGAGCACATGTAACCCTCCTATGGACCTTGGGATCATGAGTTTACGCTGAGTTATTTTAGCCTTTTTCCACCTCTGTGCCTTGATGCTTTCAGAAAGGTGAGTGCTGCAGCAAAGCACCATGCTGCATTGCAGCTGAGCAGCCAAAAAGCCTCATATCTCTGTCTGTTCTGCTGCAAAACTCACTGATTTGGTCTAATGCACTCCCTCTGCACTGGAAGTGGCTGGTTTCTAGCAGGAAGCTTTCAGGAATGTGTAAAGCAAAATGTTCTGGGCATGACCTGTCCTGCATCTTTCTCCCCATGGAGGGGATGGAGTGGCATTGTTTAGGAATGGATGGTTCAGGATGAGCTCTGACATAAGGATGAGTTAAGCACGGGGATTTTGCCCTCCCATTGGGCTGGTGGCTCGCTCCATCTCATCACCTTGGGATGCAGGAAATTCTCCAGAAGGCTCTCCTGCTTTTCCTTCCTGGCTGATGCAGGCCAGTCCCTTCCTCTGGCAGGGGACCCATCTCTGTGCCAGCCCCAGGGAAATCCTGGGGATGATTCCAGGAGGCGGCAGCTCCTTCTGCTCTCACCTCACTGCCTTTCTCCCAAGCAGGATGCAGCACTTTAAGGAGAGCATCAAGTTCATCCACGAGTGCCGGCTCCGTGGGGGAGGCTGCCTTGTCCATTGGTAAGAGCCTCTGTTGGCAGCCTGTGGGCTTCCTCAGTGTGATGCTAAAAAGTGGGGAAAAGTCATCCAAAGGACACTATGGGGAGGTGGGGGCTCCCAGGTGCTCAGAGGAGGTGTGGGGATGGGATCCCAACAAATGTGGTTGGGCAGCGGGGATGGGATCCCAATAAGTGTCCTCAATATTGAGCATCAGTTGTGGTGGAGGAGATGTGAGGAGTGGCATCAGGTCAACAAGATCATCATCAAAGAGCCCCGTAAACCTGAGCTCTAAACAGAGGGGACAGGCTAGAGGAGGGGACATAACCGTGTGACCTTCATGGGGACACTGATGGGACAGGGGCCACCGTGGCTGGAAAGCCCCAGTGCTGCATCCCACAGCTTGTTGTCCCCTGCTGTGGGGTTCTCATGGTAACAATGCCCCATCCTGACAACTCACATCGTGCCAGCCTGGCCGGGGTGTCCCGCAGCACCACCATCGTGGTGGCATACCTGATGACAGTGACAGAGCTGGGCTGGGAGCGCTGCCTGGCCGCCACCAAGGCTGTGCGCTCCTATGCCAGCCCCAACTTCGGCTTCCAGCAGCAGCTGCAGGAGTACGAGCAGACCTTGCTGAAGGAGGTGGGTCCTGCATGCATCCATGCCAGTGACTGGCCTGCAGTGCCAAAGGAGGGGAGCTGTGCAGCTGAGGGCCCCTTTGGATGCATCTGCGGTGTTTGCAAATAAGCATGCCTGTTTTGCATGCAGCAATTTTGCAAACAGTGTGAGCCAGCTGTTTGCCCTTCGAGCATGCTATTTATTACCAGGGGCTTTTGCTTTTTGCATGCATGCATGCAAAAACTTAAAAAGTGCCTGGGCATAATGTGAGTGAGCTTAGAATAAAGCTGTTTTAAATCCCAGTGCTCTTGTTTTCTCGAGAGTTCAGCTTGCATCCTGGGGAGGGGATGCTCAAATGGCACTGAGCTGGCACCAGGGAGTGCATGTGGGTGATGTGTGCACAACAGCCCTAAGCATGGTCCCTGCAGCATCCCTCAAGGGAAAACCCCAATATATGGCATGTTGTCACCATGCAAGTAGCTGCTCCATGGGATTTCTCTGCATGTGACAGTGGCCAGAGTGTCAGCTCTGGCACAGATGCTGTCACTGGAGGGGTGTGGCCCTGCCAGGCTCTCACTGCTCCAAAGTTGGCTCCCACTGCCTGTTTTCTAGCAAGGAAACCAGCACAGCTCCCACCCCTGCAGTGGGGCTTCCTGTGTGCAGGCGGCTGCCGGGTGAGTCCCCTGTCTGGGGGAGTGGATACGGGAAATGCAGACATTCCCACTGGAAATCCCCTCTGCCCAGCTGACTTTCCCCAGCTGCAGGAGGGGGCTGCCACCAGCACTGCTCTCAGGCTTTCCCCTGGCCTTCACCTGATCCCAGGAGGCTGGAGCCTTATAGCCATCATGGGACATCAAGAGCAGGGCACAGGGATCTGCCATGCCCATAAACCAGGGATGTGAGATCAGCTCCCTTCCTCCCTCTGAAGCTGCCACCATCCCAGTGCTGCCTGCATCCTTGCTGCTTGCTCCTTGGCACCCTGCAGGTTTTGCACCCTCCAACTCCTTGCAAGCGTTTTGCTTTGCTGGGTGCTCTGAGTGCTGCTCCTTGCTTGCTGGCTTCCCATTTCTGGGTGTCAGCAGCACACAGCAGCACTGCTGCTCCCTCCCCATGCAGCGTGGCCGTGCCCCAGCAGTGTCGGGAATGACTTCCACAGGGCTGGTTCCAGCTCTCTGCTGGGTGCCAGCTGGCTCTGGGACAGGAGCAGAGTGGGTGAGCACAGCACTCTGCAAACAGGAGCTGACCTGCCTGGGGTCAGGGAGTGCAGCCCTTCCCTGCATTGGAGAAAGCGTGGGGACGCTTTGTGTATGGTTACGTGGCTGTAAAGAACAACAGCAGCTTCTTGGCAGGGGAAAGTAAATAAGTTGAATTAAATAAAGTCAATAGAGCTGTTGGGGCTGCTGCCAGCTCTCTGGTTCCTGGGAGCAACCAGCAAGGCTGCTCTCTGTCTTGGTGATGCAGCTAATGCTTGGTCTGTGTGCAATGCTGCATCTCTTATTGCGTGGCATGCAAGCTCCTGCAAAATGGGGCTGCTGCTGTACCTATGCTGTGCTTGGCATGCCTGGGGTTAGTTCAGGCCTTTGCACTGTGTCCACCTACTGACTGTGGCACCTTCTGTGGCTTTGCTTTGGCAGTACCGTGCCTGGATCCGTCACGATTACGGCAGGAATCCCTTCCAGGACCAGGAGGAGCTGCAGCGCTTGTTGGTCCAGCAGGAGCAAAGTGGGAGCAGGGATGGCTCCTGCACCACTCCCCCAGCACCCAACCACCCACTGCCCAGCAGCAGGAGCCCGTGGATGAACAGATAGGCAGCAGCTGCTCCCAGAGGGACACTATCTTTGTGCCTTGCAAAACGTGACAGCCGCCGTGCCCAGCGCCCATGGGGTGCAGCTGCAGTGGGATGCGATGGGGTAAAGGCTGGGGCAGGACCCCACAGCTGCAGTTATGCAGGGGCTGCTCTGCTGCTGCTTCTCATGCACCAGCCCCGTCGTATGGGAAAAATCAATTGTTACTGAGAAACAGAGAGGCAGGGCCTCACTCTGCATTAAAGCCCTTCTCAGGGTCACCACGAATGGATCCAATCCTTTATTCAAGTATTTCTAGGAAGTCCCTTAGTGGAAATTTCTGGGTATTGGAGGCTGTGAGTGGGACAAAGCTGGTGCTGAGCTGCCAAGGAACAGGGGATTGATCAAAACCATGGGGATGGCTGCAGGGATGGAGGGATGGGCTGCGTTATTCTATACAGAAGTGCCGCAGTATCTGGGAAAGCACCCTGGGCAATCAGTGGGGAAAAGGCCAATAAGTGCTGATGATCAAGGGAGCTGGAGGGAAGTTGAGCAAACCTTGTAGACATTGCATCGAATGCCTCGCTTATCATTTTAGGAAGCAGAAAAATGGAACTCGTGCACAGGAAAAAGAGAAGAAAGTTGGTTTCTGGTGTCAATAGGAAGTCATCGCAGATCTGTGATAAGCAGAGATTAGATGTGCAGTAGGTGTGATAACCTCATGCTGCCACTTCAGCACCCATCCCACAGTCTGCCCTGCCTTGTGGGCATCCCGAGACTGCAGTGTTTCCCCTAACTCACCCCAGCTTGTGGGAACCACAGGGGATGCCCCGAGTGATTACAGCATCACGGCAGCATCTGCTGCCCAAACAGCACCTCCTACCCCCACATAGGTGCCAGGCAGCTGTATTCCCACACGACTGCACGTTCTGTCCTCGGTGGAAAGCAGCACCACCTCTCCAGCCCTGCTCTGTGTTTTGCCAACTCCCACATCACCCATGCGGGGGGTCAGCAGTGCAATCTCCCCCCCCCCCCCCCCCTCCTGCTACAAGTGACCCTCATCACATCAGGATGTTTGGCTCTCCCCATATCTCACGCAGGCTCTCCCAGCAGCTATTTGTCACGCATCGGAGTGAAGGCTTTGCACCGCGGCTCGTTATTTTTATGACACCTGCAGCCCATCGCGTTGCCACGGGATGCCCGGGTGACCGCCTCGTGCCACCTGCGGGCAAGGAAAACAAGCCAAGCACCCTGGGTTTGGCCGAGCACCACCGGGAGCAGCGTGGGGATGAAGAAATAGAGGAAATGGGGTGGAATGGGCCCTAGGAGGACGGACGGACGTTGGACACACGGACATCTCCCGCCTCCGCGCCACCACGCCGATTTCCCGGAAAGGCGCGGGCTGCGGAGAAAGCCGCGCAAGCCGAGCGCGCGCGCGCCCCCCATTGGAGCGCCCCCTCATTGGGCAGCCGGAGAAGGGGGCGGGAAGAGGAGGGTGGAGAGGGCTGCCATTGGCTGAACGGCGCTGGGGGCGGGGCGACGCGGGGAGCGGCCTGCGGGGCGCTATAAGGGTGCGGGCGCGGGCGCGCGTTGGGGTGCGGAGCGGGGAGTGCGGAAGGTAATTGGTGCGGTGTGTGCGGGAGCTGGGGGGAGGGATGTTGGGGGTGCGGGCTGTGGTGCGGTGTTTGGCTGGAGGGTTTTAGGGTCGTGGTGGTTTTAGGGTCGTTGGGTGCTGGAGCGGGGCATGTAGGGTGAGGGTGGTGCAGGGGCAAGGCTGTAAGGTGCTGGTCTGTATTGGGTGCTGGGAGCGAGCGGGGGGGGTTTAGGATTGGTGGGGGTGCGGGAGGTGGGGTTTGGGGGTGCTGGGATGGAGGCTTCGGAGCGCTGGGGGATGTGACTTCAAAGTGTGGAGGTTGTAGGGTGCTGGACAGGCAGGGTTGTGGGGGTGGATGGAGGGGAGCTGTGGGCTTTTGGGATGAAGTTTTAGGGTGCTGTGTGTGCATTATAGGGCAGGCAGGGTACTGGGTTGTAAGAGGGGTTGTAGGGTGGCTTCTAGGGAGCTGGGTGTGCAGGAAATAGGGCTGCACGGTGCTGGGATTGCATCGGGAAGGATCTTTTGAGTGCTGGGATGTGAAGTTTTAAGGCAATGCGAACAAGCTCATGAGAAGATGGGCTGAGTTGGCTTTCCCGTGGCTGCTCCGCTAAGCCATTTGTGCTAAAAATGAGCTGAGACCAGAAATGAGGTGAACTCACCCCCCTCAGCAGGGCCCTGGTCCTGTCCTGGAGAGGATGTGGTTGCATGGCCCTGTTCCCTGCGGTGACCCTGCTGCTACCTGCGCTGCTCCTTGCTGCAAGAGGCTTCACCCTCTTTTATTTCACCCCCCCTCTCCCCCATTGCTATGGTACTGGGAGCTGTCTGCCTCTACAGCGTCACTTCTTTAGGTGACAGCATAGTTCCTACGGCGCTGATCCCCAAAAAGAGGAGTTTGCAAGTCAGCCTGTTGCTGTGACAGAGCTTTCCTCAGCAGCAAGAGGATAAAGGTGCCTTCCAGCAGGGCTCCACGCAGGCTGCAGATAGGCTAACGAGTGCTTTCGTCATATTCAGTAAATGGGGTGTGGGCACCAGTCCAGTGCCTGCCCACATGGCTGGGGTGGAGCGATGCGGGACAGCTGTAGAATCGCTGCTGTGGCTTTTCCCGTGTTAAAAAAGGGGAGGTTTGGTGCACGGAGGGGCACGTGGCAGCTGCTGGTGTTTGCAGGCAGTGTGTTACCGACGCTGCACGTGATAAAGTGGAGCAGAGAGAGATTGCTTGCATTCAAATCGCTTTATTTTTCTACTTGGAGACATCGCTGCGATCCGCTGGCTCTCCAGTCGGGTGCCCTGAAAGTGAAACACAGCCATTAGAATGCATTAAGATGTCTCTGTCCACCCAGCTGCTGTTAGTGGGGGGCAGAGGGGTGTCGAGATAGATAGACTGACAGACTGACAGCTCCCACTTCTGCCTAGGATGTGCGACCGCAACGGTGGGAGGCGGCTGCGGCAGTGGCTGATTGAGCAGATTGACAGCGAGCAGTACCCAGGGCTCATCTGGGAGAATGAGGAGAAAACCATGTTCCGCATCCCGTGGAAGCATGCAGGGAAACAGGATTACAACCAGGAGGTGGACGCTTCGATTTTCAAGGTAGGGTGAGATGGTTTGTCCCTGTTACCAACGGCTTCTGGGCTGTCAAGGTGAGGTGGTCCGTCCCCGCTGTCAGTGGTTTCTGGGTTGTTTGGATCTCAGCTGGTGGGAGATGTCCTCCCTGTCGGCAGGGTCTGCAGCTTGCAGCACCTGTAGGATCCCTGTTGGGATCATCTGGGGATGGCTTTTCCTTTTTGCTGTGTTGGTGCCAGGTTTAGGTTTGTTCCTGGCACGTTGGTGAGGAGTCAGGAGCGGCTGCTGCTCCTTCTTCACCTCCTCTTTATCTAGTGAGGATGTATCAAGCTGTAGCCCAATATGTAGTATGATTTGGCCTGATGTGCTCTGTGACCTGCCCTAAGCTTCCTGTTGGGCACTTTCTGATAAAGAGTGCATTATCAAAAAAAGAAAGGAAAGGAAGGAAGTGTCAGCTTTTCTCAGAGAGAAGGGACTTTACATCTCAGATCTAATAGGAAAATTCTGTCCTGAACCAAAAAGCTGGGCTCTTCCCCAGGAATTCCCTTCCCTCTGCTCTATTCCCATACTTTGCTCTATCCATGGTGACTGATGGCTTTCGGGGCACCGACCAGAGCAATGGGTTGTAGAGATGGCTTTATATAAATATATTCATATCTGTTATCTGTATTAAAATATACTGTCCCACCTCCCCATGAAAGCACAAATGACGTTTTGATATTAAGGAATCCAGCTGTCAGTTACTGGTCTAAAGCTGGGAAGATGAGGTGTATTTTAGTATGGGTTTGGGTGTTTCTGGATCAGGACAAGTATCATTGCTTGGATGTGCATCCTTGCATCAGTCTGTGCTAAAGTGAAGTTGCACACTGCTGTTTTGGCTCTGGTCTGTGCTGTGAAGGGCTTGAAACCAACTCCAGCTCCCTTAGATTAGTGTGATGTGGCCGGTGCAGAGCTGGGCGTGTGGTAATGGCTGAACTTTTGGGGACTTCTGTGGGGTGTCCCATTTCTGAGCAACAGCTTGCCCAAGATGTGCTGCTCATCTGCTCTTTGGTCCAAAGGGATTTGCAGAGCTTGCATGGAAGGTGATTTCCTTTTTGTTTTGCTGTAGGCTTGGGCTGTTTTCAAAGGCAAATTCAAAGAAGGTGACAAAGCAGAGCCAGCCACCTGGAAGACACGGCTGCGCTGTGCCTTGAACAAGAGCCCTGACTTTGAGGAGGTGACAGACAGGTCCCAGCTGGACATCTCTGAGCCCTACAAGGTGTACAGGATCGTGCCAGAGGAGGAGCAGAAATGTGAGTGCCCCATTGGAGGGCATGGGTGCTGGGTGCTGCTGATCTACACCCAGCAGTGTATGGCTGGCCCCATGGCTTGGGGACGTGTCCTGTGTCACTGCAGTGCTGGGAGGTGGGCAAGGAGCTGCTGGGTTGTTAGGAGCAATAATGTTTTTATTTTTCCTCCATGCTTAACTGCTGTTTGGGAAATAAAGATGCACCAACCTGAGTCCTTCCCCTGCTTTGGGGTTGCTTGAGCCCTCCCAGCCCTTTGTCCTCCTGACACCCACCCTGGCAGGGAGTTATAGTAAATCCTTTCCCTCTTGCTATCACTTATTGGAGGAACAGCAGCTCACCAGAGAGCAGTCACTGCAGTATTGGGTACGACGCAGGTTGCAATAGGCATCTCTCTGCTGTTGTTCTGGTGTGTGCTCTTCCTTTTTCCTTTCCTTGCTTAGAGAAAAGGAGGAGAGGGGGGGAGAAAACAAGAAATATCATGCAGATCTGTCTGTAGCATCTTGTCTCCTTCTGTGTGTTCACATGGGGCCCTGTATGCAAATGGCACTGCAGGTTCCCACCGGCAGCACGGCTCATGGAAAAAAGAGAAGCAGCACCAGTCTCTGGGGTGCTCAGAAAAACCCCTCTCCTGTGCTCTAGCCCCAAGCTGTATTTAGTTTGCCCTACTGCTCATCACCATGTACCAGTGCCATTTATTGCAGGCTGGTTTCTGGCCCCAAAATGCAGCTGCTGGGGGGGGGGGAAGAGGAACGCGGGGTTGCTGCGGTTCTCAGTTTCATAACTTTCGTGGGGTTTCTGAAATCTGGTGGCGAGGCCACGGCTGCCCTGCTGCATCATCCTCACTGCTTTCTGCAGGCAAAATCGGCGTTGGGAACGGGAGCAGCCTAGCTGATGTTGGAGACATGGACTGCAGCCCTTCTGCCATCGATGACCTGATGAAAGAGGTGAGCCCTCTTCTGTGGACACAGACCTGACGAGGCAAAGTCCGGTTGCCTGGTCGTGTTTAAAGCTACATCTGCCTCATGATGAGCACGGTGCTTTTGCAGCTGCACTGGCTGTGGTCATTCATCTGAGCAAGCTTGGGGTCACGGTGTGGTTACTCGTGGCTGGAGCATGCTTCGTTTGCATTTGTGTTTGGTGGGGGCTGCAGGCTTCTCTGTGCCTCTCTTCCCCTTCTTGGTTGCACAGTGTGGGGCCTGTTCTGCTCCATGCCTCTTGAGAGGTTATCTTGGTGCATAGCCTGGGGAATCCCAAATTTGCTCTTTCTAACCAAAAAGCATTCATCAGCCTTTTGGCATCCCTTTTGCCTTCTTGCTTTGCCTCATAAGCCCCTCTTCAGGCCCTGGCCAGCTTTCTGCCCCTGGCTGATCTAATGGGTATCCCTTCCTGCTCCAGCCTCCTTGTGTGGATGAATACCTGGGGATCATCAAGAGAAGCCCCTCACCTCCACAGGAGACCTGCAGAAACCCCCCAATACCAGACTGGTGGATGCAGCAGCCCAGCCCCTGTGAGTAGTGTGTGTGGGGTGTTCTATGGGACCCAGCCGTTCATCCAGGGGCAGTGCCTGTGACGATGGATGGTGTAGGCTCCCTCTGGGCAGTGCTTGTATTCTACCTTCCCAAGTGCTTAAAGTCAGCATTTTGGTGGATATAAGGCACCCCGCAGTGCAGGGTTCATTGCACAATTCTTGTAATTACCCTGGGAGTGTTTGCTGGTGTCTCCCATCCAGGAGATGGGAAGCCTGATGTGCTTGCTGAGTGGGAAAAGCTTTGGGATGGTGGGAGGGTGGGATTAGGCTTTGGGAAAGGGAAAGTGTGCTGGAGCTGGGCACATCTCTACTCTCTCTGCCCACAGCTTTGCCCCTGGTGAATGGGTACACTGGCTACGAGCAGCAGCATTCGGGTAAGGCAGCTCCCATTCCCCTGTGTGACACTGGGCTGTGGCCATCACACTCCTCTCTGGAGCTTGTGAGCGTGTGCTGTTTGGCAGACACTGACTCTATCTCACCTGTCCTTTTCTCCCAGGCTACTCCCAGATGGTGATCACCTTCTTCTACAGCGGGAGGCTGGTGGGGCACATCACCACCTCATACCCTGAGGGCTGCAGGCTGTCGCTCAGCCAGCCCTCTAACCACAGTGAGAAGCTCTACGCCCCTGATAGCCTGGAGCACGTGAGGTTCCCCTCAGCTGAAGCCATCCAGAATGACCGCCAGAAGCAGATCACCAAGAAGCTCTTTGGGCACCTGGAGAGGGGTGTCCTGCTGCACAGCAACAAGCAGGGCATCTTTATCAAGAGGCTGTGCCAGGGAAGGGTCTTCTGGAGTGGGAACACGCTGGTGTACAAGGACAGGCCAAGCAAACTGGACCGTGATGAAGTGGTGAAGATATTTGACACCAACTTATTCTTTAGAGGTTGGTATGAGCACTGTAGGAGGGGTTGATGTTGTTCTTGACTTTGCTCCGCTTCCTCTTGGAGCGCTTTGGGGTTATAACTGTGCATCACTGCTGTTTACCTAAGTGATGTGGATGAGTAACTCCAGATATCAGATCTGGGAAGGAGTGATGCAGTGCACTGTCACGTAGCAGAGGCTTCATGGCTGGAGGCTTTGTTGCAGCAGGTTTTCTCCTGGCAGAGCCACCAGCCTGCTTCGTGTCAGGGTGCTTGATTATTTTTTTTCCCCCATGCTGTGCATCACAACTTGCAGACAGCCTCCAGCTGTGCTTCTCTCCTTGCAGAGCTGCAGCAGTACTACAACAACCAGGGCCGCTTCCCGGACAGCAGGGTCATGTTGTGCTTTGGAGAGGAGTTCCCAGACACGGTGCCGCTGCGGTGTAAGCTCATCCTCGTCCAGGTATGGCAGCTGCTATGATCTGCCCTGCTCCTGGTCCCTGACACTGGGTTGTGCCTCTTCTCTGGACTGTATTGCTCATTTTTTTTCTTCCTGAAAGTGGGACTCTGGCTCCAATCTCTGGTTGGTGTGAGCTTCCTGAGATATTGCTGCTTGTCTCAGACCCCTCGGCCTGGTCAGATCACATATACATGCAAAGCTTCCACATGCTGTGCAGCTCATAGATTTCCTACTGGTTTGGAAAAGCTGTTTTCTGCACGATTCCTGTGCCTCTGCTTTGCTCTGCTGCTTGGTCAGTGCTTCCTTCTGTTCCTGCCCCTTGGCTCTGGGAGCTGTGCTCTCTGTTGTGGAAAATGAGGGGATAAGTCCCTGGAATGATTGCATTAACTGGTGGCCTCTGGCTGGCTCTTCAGCCCTACAGCCTTTCCTTGGGGCAAGGCATGGGGCATTTCAAGAGTCCACAGCAGGCACAGCACCTTATGGGTGGCAGAGAAGGCATAAGACTGTGGTGTGGGGTGGGCATTACAGCAAGCAAGACCCGCAGGACCTCTGAGCTTCTGGAAGGAGGGGGTTTCCAAGCTCAGAGCCCAATCCTGCTCATCCTTGCCCAACTTTCTGAGTGGGTCACAGAATCATGGAATGGCAGCCTGTCCTCTCCTCCCTATGACAGCTCCTGTGGCCGTGCCTTATGGTGCATCGTGGTGTTGGGCCTGCAGGCTATGGTAGGCCTGGCCATGGCTGTTCTTCTCCCAGTGCCCTCACAACTCCTTTCTCTTTTTTATTTGGTCTAGGTGGAGCAGCTCTGTGTCAGGCAGGTGATGGAGGAGGCTGGCAAGACCTGCAGCAGCCCCATGCTGCCTGATGAGGTGCAGCAAGAGCAGGTGTACAGGATCTTCCAGGACATCTGTGGGCCACACCAACGGCCGCTGTTCAGAGAGAATCAACAGATTGCTGTGTGAGCCTCCGTGGGCACAACGAGGGGTCTGGGTGACTCCAGACCCGTTGGGATTCATTAGTGCCTCAAAATTTCCCTTTGTTTGGAGAGTTGGTTCTTGATCTTTGCTGTTTTCAGTCCATAAATCTGTGTAAACGCAGCGATCCAAAGCAACAGCCCCACTTGGTTTGAGAACCACCATTGGAAGGAGGTGGTGACTCCTGGAAAGGCCTTACAGCGCTCAAGTAAATCCTTCACAGAAGTAATTATTTTTCCCCCAGAGAATTTGCAGTCCTGCTGAAGTCTGTGGTATGCTTTCCGTGGGGGAAAAACCTCCTCAAATCCCTCTTTATTTTTGCAATGAAGTTTATATTTTTTTTGTCTGTCATAGGGGGGGGAGTATTTTGAAATTCAGAGAGCGATGCAGAAATTATATATGTAAACGTTGGCTATGAGAACATAGGGATCTTAATTTTTCTGACCCAAAACCAGAGTTTGTACAAACAGATGTCTTCTATTTTAAAGATAGCAGTGTAGTGTTAATAGGTTGGCTTCACCATCCCAAAAATGCATGTGTTGGTCTCTCCCAAGCGTGAGCAGGCAGCAGCTTCCATGTGTCAACCCTCATTAACATGCTTTGTGTTTGCCCAGTGCTGGGGAGCTCCTTGGGCATGGCTTCATGCCTTGCAGCAGCCATGAAGCACCATGGACCAAAGGACCTTGCAGGTGTGCGTGCAGTGAGGCTGCCTATTTATTTTATGCCTAAGTTTTTTTGTTAAATGGTTTTGTAATTTCTTTTTTTGTTTTTTGTATCTTCCTGCAATTAAAGTGCTATGTTTTGTATTTGTCTTGCGAAGTGTTTTTTTTGTTGGTGCTGTCAGTGGGGTTCCTCATCGTGGTGGAGGGGTTCCTAGTTTGTTCCTGCCCAAGTCTTCCCTTGTGTGGGGTCTGTGGAGGTCCTGCTCTGTAACTGGCTTCGTCTCGGGGGATAATATGCAATAATGCAATGGAGGAGGGGGGAAAAATGCAATATCTGTGGGGCCTTTTTACAGAAGACCATGAGGGTAGGTCCCTGCCTGTCTTTCTGGTACTGTCCTGAGTGCACTTGCCTTGCAGACCTGGGCCACAATGCTCCAAGATGGGAAGGGTTGATTTGATGGTTCTCATTTGCCCCTTGTCTTCTCTTCCACGTCCATCTCAGGGGGTTTGATCTGTTGGGGGATTGTGGCAGGGGTTTGGGAAGAAGTGAGGGCCGAAAGGGGGCACCTGCCTGTATTCATTTACGAGTCAGCACTGCAGGAATGGTGGCTGAGCATTCATCCCCCTACCTGCCTTCCTTTCTAGCCTGTTTTTGGGGTAATACAATAGCATGGAAGACTGTGAAGACCTTGTTGGATCTCTGTCCTTGCCCTTGTGAAGGACAAACATCAACAAACTGCTGTGTGCTTTGAACCTGCCCTGCCAAAGGCTTTGGCTGGGGAAGGAACAGTCCTTGTGGTGTGACCCTGATGCCCAAGGTACTGGGTGGGGTTCACAGGTACTTGGGCAGAGGATGCGTTGAGATCCAGGCAGCTGTAGGGAAATGCTGAGGAGATGGATGCAAAGCTGTCCTCCCCCTTGCTTGGGTGTCAAAGCAGATCATGAGACTTGGGGGGGATGAGGGGGGGAAGCCACTAAAAAACTCATCAGGGGTTTGAAGTTGACCCTGCTGCATTCCTCCAGGCTAAGCACGCAGCCTCTCTGTTCCCATGTCCTGAAGAGCTGCTTATCTCACATGCTGCTGACTTCAGAGTGCCAAGAAAGTGCTTTGAGATGGCAAACCCAGCTGGAAAGTGGTTACACTAGGATGAAAGGATGGCCCTACGCTGTTGGTTGTCCTGGGGTGAGACCCCTTTGGCAATCTGTCCTGTTGGACTACATGGGATGGATATTTACACGATGAGCATCCTACTAAATCACACCTTGGGATCCAGCTGTAACAGTGGGATATCTGTGGTCCTGTCTGCCCTTGTGTGCGTCCCTTGCAGGCATTACAGCCTGATGCTTTGGAGCTTATGAGAAGAAATGACTGCAGGCCAAGAGTCCTGTACACATGTCAGTAGCCCAAGTGCAGTGAATTCCACAGCTCCTGCTACAAATGCAGCTCTGGCTTACGAGGTGCTCAATCACAGAGGTGGGTGCTGAGGTACTGTACCAGCAGCATGCACCCCTCTAGCCTTTCTCCTGTCCTTAGGGTCCCTGTGGTGATTAATCCTATTTCATCCCTTGCAGAACTGAAGGGTTGACACATTTGTGCATGTCATGCTGCAACCCATATCAAACTAACAAAACCACTAGCGAGAGGGCCAACCTTTCCCCTTTTCCTCCAAGCCTTTTAGATCAACCATTCCACCCCACATCGTCCATCCCTCCACCGGGGGCAATTTTTCCCTTTAGGCCTCCTGGCTCACGAAGAAGCATCTTTTCTGCAGGCAAGGTGCTGAAGGAGGAGGGAGCGAGGTGACCCTGCGGTCTGTGCGGCTGCGATGGAACAACACGTGCCCACTTGTGAAACATATGACAGCCTGCAGGCTTGAACACCAAAACACCGCTTGCGGTTTCCCCAGATGTCCCAGAGCCAGTCCTTCCTCAGAAACCACCATATTGGGCTTGCCTGGAGCCACCTGCTATGTATTCAGGGCTCTTTCATTTTCCACCCCAAGACCGCGGAAGAGCAAGGGGAACAGAGGTACCTTTGTTTGGAGCACTCTGTGCTTTATTTTTAGTGTTGCCATGCTGCCTCAGAGCCAAGAGTGCAGTTCAGGACTGCTGCTGCATATTGTTCCATTAAGCCAGCAGCACAGCTCCCAATCCAAACAGCATCCGGACCAAGAGGAGACAGCTGGTGGGTGGCCAAGGCCTGAGAAGGAGACCATGGCATGGGGTTGGGTGGCAGAGGGCAGTTGTGAGAAGAACGATGTAGGGTCCATGATTGGATGCAGGGTTTGTCCTCTTTCAGACGAAGGCTTTGACAGGACTTGGGATCACACTTCATGCCTTGTGTAAGGTGAGCATCCCTGGCTTTGCCCGTCTCCAAAATGTAACACAAGAGAAGCATCTGAGGCTGATGCTCACTCACAGGCAGAGGACCAGAAGCCACAGCAGACAGAGGAAGGTTTCGAGGTACCTGTGCCACACTGCACGTTGTTTTGGCCCAGACTTTCTGTGGCCTCTGTACAAGCTCTGAGTAGTTTCTGCAGATCTCACACTGACCCAAAGGTGCACCCTGGATACCCATCCCTGCACCTCACCTGACCCCATGAGTTGCTCGCTGCAGCTGCATTGAATCTCAGTGGTTTGGAGCCCAAAGACTTTCATTGGTTTCTGTTCACTTGGGTTCTTCTCTATGGCCTTACTGAAGTGAAACCTCAGTGCCTCGTGTTGGCTCTTCTTCATCAACAGCTCATCCATCAGCAAGCCCCACAGCAGCCCATGCCTCCCCCAGCTGATGATTCCTGGAATGTTATTTGGGTTCAAAGCCAACCTGTCTCTTGAGATATGTCAGGCTGGAAGTCTCTTGTACCACTAGGAATAATCTTTCTTGGGAGAAAAATATATCCTGCAGTGTTATCAGCCTTGATCCTTAATGTTCCCATAGATTCCCATGACATAGCCTTCAACAAATGCAGACAGATCCACCAGCCATGGCTTCAGAAGCAGAATTCTGTAAGTACAACCAGTGCCTATTCATCTCTACGACATGCTTGAAATACTGTGTAAGAAGTCCGAATTACTGGAATACCATGGTGACAAGACTCCTGTGTGAAAAACGGACTTCTAACTGGGTGGTTAGAAGGATGTTGAGGTCTGGATCCAGCTAACTTCTGAGATTTTGTCTATCTCATTCTGTAGAAACAGGAAGAGCTCTACAGCCATCTCCATCCCTCTGCAGGCCAAGTACAGACAACCACAGCTCAATGGAAGGTCCAAGCTCACAAACTGCTCAGGAATACAATGCAAACCAGCTACAGCTGCTTCCTCCAACCCATTGCTGCTTGGCCTGGGCCCCACCGGCCCCTACAGGCGTTAGAAAAACAGTCACTTTTTATTTCTAGACACCAGGATTTCCAACTGGTTTGATTGCTCAATGTCCCATTTCAGCACAGCAGCCTGTCCACGATGAGCATCTCCAGGCTCTTCCTGTGAGCATGTTGTAATATGGGAAGCACCTTGCTTTGCATGGTCACCAGCTGAAGGACATCTCCCTGCCCCAAAGAGCTGGCCAGTCCTAACACCAAGGAAACCTCTGTATGCCTCACGAAGGAAGCTTGATGGGATAACTCACCTGCCATCATCTGTGGCAGAGCTCAAAGGTTTGGATTTCTAGTCTACCCTGCTGGTGGTTCTTGGTTCATGCATCAAATCACAGCCTTCGTAAAATCAACCCTGTGCAGGTAACGGGAGGGGAGGGATGCTCTGAAAGCATTTTGCCAGCCTTGGGTTGGCTGAGAATTGGGCCAAAGAGGCAGCGGGGAGAGCTGAGAGTGAGGACTGCGTTCTGAGACCTTTGGGCAGGCAATGTGCTGGGTTCCCCAAGCAAAATGTGTCTGCAAAAACTAGGGCTCACATGGAGGAAGGGAGATTCCAGGCTCCAGCAAGAACGACAGCCACTTATTTCTCCAAATCCATTTCTCTGATCGTTTTTGCCATAACACCAGATATAAGACCATAAAAACAAGCTCCACCTAAGCCACAGCTGTGAAAATGCAGAGAAATACCATGGCACATATTTTGTTTTGTCAGACCCTTGGGTTTATTATGACACCGAGGCTGTGAAACCAAAGCCCAGGTCGAAATACTCTGCCTTCCCACTGAGTTTTCATGTGTCCAGATGTTGTATCCTACTCTATTTTTGCTGGGTGCAATTTACTTCCAACGGTGCAAACACCCTGATGCAACAGCATGGCCAGGAGTGTCAAATATAGGCAGGCAGGCAGTCACAAGCCAACCCACTCAGATAGCAGAGAACCTGGGCAGGAATGAAAGGAGAACGAAGAAGAACTTAGACTCAGCTCTGAAACAGAGCCAGCTCAAGAAAAGGGAAAAAAAAAAGATAAAGAATATCCCAGGTCACTGCACAAGGAAATCTTTATAACGTGGTGATTAAGAGACCAATAAATCTGAAGTTGGAGAAAAACTCATTTTCCCTATTTCTCGCACAGTGCGTGACAGTAGGTGGATGTTAAAGTGTTTGTCCTGCTTCTTGCACGAGTGGCAGTTGTAAAACTTCCTTTCTTGATCTTTTATAGGCCAGGAACCACAAACTGCAACGTGATTTTGAATTTTGAAACAAGCTGTGAATCTCAATGGCATTAATTAGCAGTAACTTATGGCTCTTCCTTCAAGTTCTGATGAGCTGCAAAGGGAACCTTGCCTTGGCATATAGATGTCTCCTGGATCTTAATCTTTTTTTCCATTGCTGTGAACTGAGGGAGAAATACATGGGTGTGGGTGCAGAGCAATTTCCATCACCCAGCTGGAGGGTGATGTCAGCACTGTCCTGCTAACAGCAGTCTCCTATCAGGCCTCAGCTATGACTGGGAATTGCATCTAGATCTCAGCTTAATGCCATCTCCAGCTCAGGAATTGGAGCTGTAATTTGGTAATGATCTGTTTGCTCACCATGGCCATAAAAAAAAAACCCTCACATTTCCTGCACATCAGTGCTCCATGCACATAAGCAAGGCCCCCATTGCTGTGCCACTGGTGCCCTTCTCATCCCCAGCAGTTCAATTCCCTGCCCAATCTCATGTCTTGGGACCAAAATCATGCGCGTGGCTCTAAATCCACTCTGCGACTCGAAA